ACAGTGTTTAATAACAGCACACACAAGCCATTTTATTCTCATTTATCACAAACACTTTATTAGAATGAACATTAAAGAATAGCATTTACTTTGGCAACAAAGCACTGAAATAGAAAACAATGGATTCATGTAGTCTGTATAATAAACTGATCAGCTGACAGTTTATTATGAGTTAGCATGAAGTTATTCACTATTCAAGCAGTCTTTTCACTTATTTGAATTCTTAGTTAGTATTCTAAGTTATTTTACTTTTACAAATTTTATTATTTGTTACTCACTCAATTATAAAGTAAAAATATTTTTCATATTTTTCTGCCTAATCACTGCGAGTTGATTAATTTAGTTGAATTATTTATCTTTTTGCAGCACTGTATATAATAAGACAGTAGTAAGTAAGTATAGTAAGTATTTAAAATGTGTAAGTGTCAGTCTCAGGCCGTTTTATTTATTTTTACATTGTTTTTAAATGGAAGATTTGCATTTTTCTGAACAGAACTGAACGTAACACTGCTAAGTTTTTAGCATCTTTTCTTTTAAACACCTGAAATGTAGCCTCCTAGCATCAGTGCTGATAGCGTGAGAGGTGGTTTACCAAAACTATCATCAAAACAGAACATAAGAAATAATTTAGGAATCAAACTGAATGCTGACCACCACACATCTCAAACCACACATAATGGGTAAGTTAACTGGCCCTGCTCTGAAGGACATTCATTTGTTAATTTTTCAGCTCACCTCTCAGCTCTATCACACTCTGGTCTTGGATCTAATAGACAATGAGGGCAACGAGACCAAGCAGCAAAGGAGCCACACTCAGTTTGACAGTCCAGGCTGAATTACAGAGGCTGCTTCCACAACATTTTGATGAACTGGCGGACACTGAAACACCAAGGAGAAAAGAAGCAGTTTGGACATCCTGCTGAGACAAAACCTCACACAGGTTTGCAGACACACAGCCACGGAACGTATAGATCTCATCCCCAACTTTCACTGTGGATGACAAAGTCACAGTTGTATAAGAACAGAGTTTTTCTTACCATTAAAAAAAATAAAATTGCCACAAGGAACACCTGAAGGCAGCAGTGACAGATTCTGTGAG